GATGCGTGCTGTCTGAGATCATTTCTTCCACCATGACTGCAAGAGAAATCTCTTTTGCAAATACGGCAATATGCTTTATACACGTTGCCACCATAGTTGCCAACTTGGTGCTTTAAGCACTAGATTTAGTGCTTTTTGAAAACTAAAACGCCAAAAGAAATGGTTTAGTGCCTAGAGCCTTTTTTTGTGCTTTTTTTCTGATCTCAGATTTCTCAAATGTATATAGATAAATCATGAAATAATTTGAAATATTTATCGGTTCTTGTAGACTTTTTAGTGCTGAATCCAAATCTGGATGCAGAATTTCTCCAGCTCGTCAAAAGATATCTTAACCTTAAAGTGTCAAAAACACGGGTTTCGCGATATTTGAGGTTATATTATGAATTGACATTTTTTTTTACTCATTTCTTATTGGGGCATCATTTAGTATTACTCATCCCCTTTAAATTTCATTTTCGTTTGTTGCGATTCGATATTTCTTTCTCGTGAGATACTAGTTTTAATGTGCAGTACTTTGGTATTATTTCGTAAGCATGAATCATAATAGCATGGTAGAGGCTATTCAATCGTTATGAGCGAAAAAGTTTGGAATATTGTTAATTTTTTTACTTTTGTTAAATACAAACTGTTATGATAAAAGTATCCTTTGATAAAAAAATTTTAGTGCTTTTAGTGTGGTAAAACGCTTTTCTTTCCAAGTTTTGGTGCTCTTTGAAATTGAAAAGTTGGCAACGCTGAAAAGAATATCTCAAAAGCGATACTTGACTCTCGAATACATTTCGGTCTCACTTCGAGTTGAGCCGAGTGCGTGTGCGGAACAGTGCCGCGCGGAAGTCCACTTATACCAAATATTAAAAGTGGATAAAATCAAAAAACAAAGAAAAATAACCAAATATATGTTTATAAAGTAAACTTGTGCACTTTCTCGAAGAAAAATACAATAAACATTTTTTTATAAAAAGTAAAATGATTACTACATAAGCGTGGCTGATTTTTCACCTAAAATTTTTTCTTATATCAAAGTTTGTATTATATATGTATATACATAAGTGTATATGTATGTATGTAATTAGCAAAAATAGAGGCGGAAATGAAAACTAACGAAAACTGTGGAAAGAGTGTGTAAAGTTACTAAAAGGATTGAAAATCTGGGTTAGACAAATTTTCTTTGCTGATTTAAGTGAACGAATGTAAATGAAAAATTTGGATTGCCGATAACCGCATAAGATGATAAGTATCCTGTTCCACATTTAAATTATCCTGAGTGTGTGCCATTTTTTGCTGCGCTCCCAATAAGGGTGTTCTACTCTCTCCTCCCACAGCACTAAACGCTCTGCATTGCCTCTCTCCTACTCGCTGCGAATGCATTTAGAAAAAGAGGTATTTTATTATACTGAAATTAAATCCTGCAAACACAACTATGATGTGGAGTAGGTTGTCCCGTTCACACATCACCGCTAAGGAAAAATGGCTGCAACAATTTGAAAAAAATATATATGTAATTTGATTTGGAAAGGAATAAAGACCGATTTCAGTAATTTTTTTTGCAGTTTTCAAGACATATCGCGAAAGTCATACATTGTACTGCGTCTCATCGTACTGCATAGCATCACATCGCGTGGTATCGGACGCAACGGAATCGTGCGGTCATATATCTGTATATATATATTAGTACGTATGTGCAATTGTTTGCGTGCTTTCGTATATCGAAATCGAGTAAAAGGACCAAATATGAACGTGAAACGCTCTCGCAAACCATCTCGTGGTCACACAAAACCGCTCTACGAGGCATAAGAAAAAGCTTTGTGCTGCCACTAGGACGCATTCCTTCGCTTCACACATAGCCAAAGCAAAATTTCACACTCCATTCCCCGCTGACACCTAATGGAAAAAAATCAATTTAGTCAAGAGTAATCCTCTTTCATAAAAAGTAAAATACCGAATTGTGAATGTGTGGCCGAAAACTCCGAGTTTGTGCGAAAATTCTGTGATCTGTAGAAGTGAAATCTGCGCTTGTGTGTTTATAAAAGGATTGTGTGTGATTATACGAAATTTGTCCCTGGAGGACTATTTTTCAAGTGAAAAAGTTTAGTATACATATGTATAGGCCTTATCTCTATTAAATGTGAGGTGGAAAAATGTGAAAAGCGAGAAGCACCGAAGCGAAGAAATGGCTACATTTACTCAAAAAGTTGGGCGAAACGTGAAATAGTAGATTGCGCTTCTTGCAAAGCATTGCCATTATTGACCACCGAATTACAACGAGTTTTTCAACAACAACAAATACTATTCCACCATCATCACTGATACCAACAACATCGGTATTCGCCGACGACGAGGTCATCGTCACAGTCACCGAAATCATCCAGCACTAGCAGCCAACACATCAGCGTTGGCCAAGAAAGGCATACCTCCCGTCCAGTCAGCGCCACCCACAGATGCAATCGGATCCAGAGCAATCTTCCCACGATAAATCTTCGCGGTGAAGCTGCCACTTGTCCTTTTCGTAGGAGCAGCCGGCTTAATTTGAATCATAAAGTTCAGTCGAAAGCGAATTGCTTTTGGGCTCTACTAGTCGATTAGTCCTACAAGAAACTATGCTCTTACAGCGGTACATATACGTATATTAGTACGTAGATATCTGTTGGGGAAGCGCGAAACTGCATATCGTACATCGAAATTCTGTACCGTGCACACTGTGTATATAGAACACTGCATACTTAATAGATACATATGTATTTTGTAGTCATATGCACTCAAAGCAAAAGTGTTGGATTGTAATCGTCATCCATACATCATAATCGCTGGCACCATCGTCATTACTAGGGTCTACATTTGCGCCGACCGTTTTTGAGCATACATAGATACACCACCGTTTTTGCGTAATCGTCATCATTGGGTCATCGTAATTGTTGTTGCCTTACCGTTTATTCCCAGTAGTGGCTCATTCAGCGCCGGAAATGCGTTACAGCATCAACGGAAATTAAACAAATTATAGCTGAAGTCGGAGTATAAGTGGAAGTGAAAATCCAATCTGAATATATCGTCAAACGAACGCAGACTCGTCTCAAAAAAAAAATATAATTATTTTTTTTATTTCGCAACGAAAGTTTTTTGTGGCGTTGATGTTATTCGCTTTTCGTTTAGAATCGGGATGTCGCTGCTGCATTGAGAGAACAGGTAATAATCGAAATAATTAAGAAGAGGGAGTTGTTTTCAAATTGTATGCACTCAAGAATTTGAGGTGTCATCGAGTTATGTTTTTAATATGCGTTATAACCAAGGTTTGGATTTTAATGCATTTTGTCTGCTTAGTCGTATCTGTAAACAAATAAAAGAATCACACGTTTCATGTCTTCCTTGATTAAAAATTTAAATTTAAATTTTGCCTTTTTTTTGCCTTTTTTGATTATATTGCCTTTTCGGCATGTTTTGCCTTTTTAATATTTATCTTTTCATAGAAATTCCCTGTATTGTACCAATTGTGGGACTACGAAAAAATTGTCGTCCCGATTTTTTTTTATTTCGTATCAACAGCCCGCATGTACAAATCTGTACAAAAGTACCAATCGTGTGACACTGAATTAAAATGGCCCAAATTTGTAAAAAAAATTCAACAAAATTTTAAAATGAAATAAATGAAATGAAATTTCGTAAAAATTTCGAGATTATATAATTAGATTTCCTAGAAAGATTCTGAATATGTAGTTTTGTATCCGATTGAATTCTAGTAGATCAAGTACAAGTTTCAAATGGCTAAAAATTATGGTTAATTTTTTTAGAATTTTTTAAAGAGCTCAACATTTTTACGAAAGTTTTTGAATATTGCAAAAAGTTGGAAACTGGGATTTACACTATATTTTTATAAAAAAAATAATAACAAAAATTAAAAGCAACAAAAATAATATATTAAAACTTGGCAAAAATTGGTGCGGCTATAATTTTATTGACCACTATTTGTATTCTTTATATAGTTAATCTTATATATAAATAGGCAATCATGTTTCCTTTACACCCCTTTTAAGACTAAACTATACTTCTAAGGTATAAACAATTATATATTATTAGAAAGGAATTTTGATGCTGATGCGCAGACAATTTCAAATTAGTCTAACATAAAGCGTAAAAATTCAATTAAAATGTCACACCAAACCAATACCATATATGTATATATGTACATGGTTGGGGCGGAAATGTCTCCTAAATGTATGCTTTGATATTGATGCTTAATTAAAGAAACGTGCTAAAAGCAGTTTAGGAATAATATCGCCGTTTAAGTAGAAAACCGCGTATCGTGATTCTGCAAAACCGCGTAACTGACATTGGCTGCCAAATATTGGATTTGCTCACACAAGCTCTTGGCTCAATCCTTATCCATTCGTCCTGAAATATACTAGCCAGGCATGCGATTGCTTTATAAAAAAGAGAACCCTTTTGAAATATGAGTGGTTTTACGCTCTAGAAAATAGTTTCTACAACTTCACATACGCGGTTTTGGATTTTGCTGATACGCGGTTTTGCATTTTGTTGATACGGGGCTTTGCACTTTAAACGACGATATGTAGAAAAAATTATAAACATAAAGGTAAAAACAAAGATAAATATAAAGAAAAAGATAACGATGAGGATACCGACAAAAGTATGTAAAGATAAAGATAGAGGAAGAAAGATTTAAGTAAAGGCAATTATAAAGAAAATAATATAGATCGAGGCACAAAGACTCAATCTGGGAACTATTGCAGGATCCTAGATATTTTCGGGGTTCTCGGAACTTATCGATATAACAATCGATATTTTTGTAGACTTTGTTATCGATATTTTGATCGATTTTGCTATAGATAATTTTTATAGATTTTGTTATCGGTTATGTTATCGATATTTTTATCGGGTTTGTTATCGATTTTGTTATCGAAATTTACGGATTAGCCAATTTGCGTATCTTACACGTACAAGGTATCGTAATTGAAAAAGCATTTTTGCACATTCGATAGTTTGAGATGGTAGCGAAGACATGTGTTTTATTGTTTTGTATTGTGTTCCGTTTTGTTGTATTGGTTTGTACTGTATTTTGTTGTGTTGTTTTGTGTATGTAGGCAATCAAGTTTAATTTACATCCCTTTTACGGCTAAACTATACTTCAAAGGTATAAATAATTATATATCACTAGAAAGGTATCTTGTTGCTAACGTGCAGACAATTTTTAACTTTTCAAATTAGTTTAACATAAAGCGAAATAATAAATTCCAAAGTGACACCAATACCAATGCCATATGGGCGGAAATTCCTCCTAAATGTATGCTTTAATATTGATACTGCTAGGCAGGAGTTTAGGAATGAGATGTATGTATGTATGTACATAACTAGATTAAAGGCTCTGTTATGCATACTTGGCATTGCATGCCCTGTATACCATTTTTACGTAGAAATAAAAAACCAACAGATTTCTTCGTAAGGAAGAAGGTAAATTTAAGTAAGTAGAAGAAGAGAGGGATAAATAAAGTAAAGAAATCTAAACATAAAGAGAAATAGGAAGGTATATTTAACGACTTAATATAATAGTAAAGGTGAATATTTAGATAAAGAAAAGAATACAGATAAAGATCTGAATTAAAGTCAAGGAAGTGATAAATATAAAAATAAAAGATAAAAAACGGCAGATACAAAGATATAGATAAAGGTAGAGACGAAAAAAGAGAAAGAGAAAAAACTGAAGAATAACATGCTATGTTGTGTAGTATTATGTTGTATTGTATTGTGTTTTATGTCGTGTTGTGCACTTTTGTGTTGTGTTGTGATATGTAATGTTATGTTGTGTTATGTTAAGTTAAGCTATGTTATGTCATGTTATGTTGTTATGTAATGTAATTTTTTGTTATGTAATGTTGTGTTGTTTTATGTTGCTATGTTTTGTTATGTAATGTTATGTTGTGTTTTGTTGTGTTGTCTTGTGTTGTGATATGTTATGATATGTTATGTTATAGTCTGTTATGTTGTTCAACGCATTTCACCTCAATTCGCTTCAACACTCAACTAAAACCAAGTCGGCTCAGCACAGCCCACCTCAACTCCCCTTAATTTAAAAGGTTGAATTTCAACCGCTGGGCGAAAACTAGCATATTTAATTGGACATGCATATATTTACATTGCACTAAAGTTTATTACTTAAAAATTTTGTAAATTGTTAGAACATTGAACGAGTGCTTAACTTAAACAGTGTTTTAATCTAGTAGTCAAACTTCAAAAAGGGCATATTATATTTCAAAAAAGGTAATTTTACTGCCTTTTCTCCCAAGAGGCGATTTCGTAGAGGCTGCACTGTACAATTCATGGGCGTCGCCAGAATCGAATTTAGGGGGGCCCGACATATAAAAAAAATCCAAAATTTTCATCTTTACACATTCATGTTTCTATTTAAAAAGCAGACGTGACAATTGCTCAGCAAACCGGTTAATCGTTTCTGCAATTATTTCACATTGATTCTCTAAAACAAATGTTCGATGTATTCTTAAAATGGTTTAAGCATTTAAAGTTAAATTTTATAGGAAATTAAACTAACAATTTATTAAAACTAGTAGTAACCCCCGAAATACGGGTGAGTACTTAGCTCAAATTTTATTTAAAGAACTTCGTGAAAGACAACAATTAATCTTGTATAGCTAGACACCTGATAACCTAGTATATTTTTTAAGCTCTTAAAAGACATTACTCTACTCTAAGCTTCGTGCAATGGGCCATGAGAAAACCGTCATCTTTAAGGTATAGTCCAACCTTTCACAATATCTGGTATTAGTCTTAATCTGAAACGCAATAATCATTGAAAATTGGCGCCGTTTATGGTGAAAAGCATTTAATATCACACTTTCAAACTAAAGCTTTCTTAACCCCAGAAGCCTAATCTATTCGGGAGTAACGTAAAGCCTTAACATACGCCGTAGAGGCTTATGTACTTAAAAGATAACCTGTGAGCTAAAATATACTTAGTCCTGTCTTATTTTTTTTTAAAGAATATAAAGTTGTCAGTTTGACTAATAATAAAACATAGTTTTATTTGTAAAAACTATAACCACATTTTTTTTAAAACAACAAAATAAAAAGTAAATTTTGTGTTAAAATTAAAAAAAAATACCCATTCCGTATACGCCTCGCAGACGTAGATTTATACTTTTAGGGTTAACCCTTTCAATTTTATACTTTTTACAGGTCTATTCTGCGCTGGTAACATAAAATTTATAACCGGTAATTAAAATGTCTGTCAATTTTTAAACCTTTTTCGCATTCTGTGCTCTCTTGTAACCGGTAAATTTGGTTATTATTTCATAAGCTGGTCACAAAATATTGCCCCGTGAAATATGCAATACAGGAATTTCCACAAATCTTCATAGCTGAGTTGCTGAATATTTTCACTGCATTACCAACGTACCTAGAATCGCGGTGACAAGAAGTGGTAACATTTTTTGGTAATAAAATTTTCTGGTCAGAAATTCTTCGGTAACGTGCAGATTAGACCTGTTAATGTAAACAAAATTTCTATCAGCTGTTCGTCTAACTTGCAAGTGTCTGCAAATTTTCTGTTCGCGTACTATTTTGGATATTTTTCTATTGTGAGAGAACAGATGATATTTCGCCGGAATTTCGCTGTTGGACATTTTTTACTGGAGATTTTAAACGAACGTTCCTATTGACTATCCAACATTTAACAGAATTGTTACGAACTGCTTTAACTGACCTAAAACCAGATTTTGAAAATCTCGCCAAAGGGATCTTTTGAATTTTCTTTTATATCTATCTTATGTACAATAGAATAATAATAAAATTAATGTTTTTCATTTTATTTAATAATAATTTAATTTAAAAATAAAATTTTTGTTTTTCTTGTTCTTTTTTTTTGGCTCTTTGTAGCATTTAGAACTTAGATGTGGCTCTTTTCGGCCTCGGCCTTGCCCACTCCTGCTATATACATTTTCATACAAGGCAGGATTAAACAGTATTAAAAATAAGCTGCAGGAACACAACAGCTGAGCTAAGAAGCAATGACATGCTATAACAGTATGAGATGGAATGACATGGCATAGCAATGCCTGAAATTTTTGAAAATGACATATCAATAGATACGCTGGGAAGAAGTTAAGAAAATGTTTAAATTTATATTTTGTTACCTACTTCACCGATTTGAAATCCGA